AATGGAGGAGAAGGGATTGCGGCGTGGCCATCCCCCCTGGGGGGTGATTTCTCGCTTTCTGTCTCTCTGTCTGTCTCTGTCTGTCTGGCGAGCGCACGCGCCCTATAGTGAAAAACCTCTCAAAAAAATTTTAAAAAGAAAAAAGAAAAGAAAGTAATCTAGGAAAGCAAAGATTTAAAAATAAGATTTAAAATGTATAGATTGTGTCCAAACTGAAAACATGTAGTATTAAGTGTATGCGTTTATTTGTAAAACATGCTTATTGTCTTTTTAGACATTTTTTACTGGGTCAGTCAGTACCCTGGTGGTTAAGGCAGCTGTGATCTCACATGGCTGATAGCGCAGTTCGAGTTCCAGACTTGGCAGTTTGCAAAACACACCAGGCACGTGTGCGTGCATGCCCAAAATCTCCCGAGGAGGGAGAAATGGAGAAAAAATCATCACCTGCAGGAGCAGGGAGGGTGGGGAGGGATTCCTTTCTCACTTTCTCTTTCTCTCTGTCTTCCCAGGAAGCGCATGAACCCTCTAGCAAACTAATAATAATAATAATAATAATAATAATAATAATAATAATAATGTTTTTACTAAGATATAGTTGACAAGTGAAAATTGTATGAATTTATGGTACACATTGATTTTTGGATACAGCTGGAATAGTTCAATCAAGCTAATTAACATATGCTTCGTCTCACATATTTTTGTTGTTGTTGTAAGAACTTTAAGATAGATTCTCTTAGCAAACTTCAAGTACGCAGTGTATTATTCTCAGCTCTAGTCACCATGCTGTATAATATATCTGGCCCCCTTCAAAATAAGTTTATTTCCTGGGATCAGCAGATGGCGTAATGGTTATATCACTGGATTTCCACGTAGTCGACCACGGTTGAAGTCCTAGACCAGGCAGCTTAAAAACCACACCAGGCACGTGTGCGTGCGTGCCCAAAGTCCCAAGAGGAGAATGGAGAAGGGATTGAGGCATGGCCATTTCCACTGGGGATGATTTCTTGCTTTCTGTCTCTCTGTCTCTCTGGTGAGTGCACTCATCCTATAGCAAAATATCTCTCTAAAATAAATAAATAAATGCTTACTTTCAAAGTATTTTTACTTATTGGGTTGTTTTTGTTTTTGTTTTTGTTTTTTGCTATGGGGCACGTGCACTCACTGAAGAGAAACAGTGAGAGTGAATGTGAGAAAGCACGCACCCCCCCGGGAGGGCTGACCATGTCACAGTCCCTTCTCCTCTATTTACATCTCAGGATTGTGAGTGGGCACACACACACACACACACACACATACACACACACATGGCATGTTTTTCTAGCCACCAGGTCTGGGTCTTGAACCATGCAGTTGGCCATGTTGGATCCAGCTGCCTTAACTATCATGTCACCTGCAAGCCCTACCTCTTTTCTTTTTTTAAATATTTCAATAAGTTTTTTTTTTTTCTTTTTCCTACTTCTGACTAGTACAGGCCCATTCTAGAAATTTTGAAAAACTTAGAGAAGTTGCACAATCAAAAGTCAGCTATGGGGCCAGGCCATGGCACAGAGGGCTAAAATGAGTCTTTGCAGGGCAGACCCACGTGCCCGTTTGCACCCAGGACTTCCCTGAGTCTGCTGGGCATGTGCGTGCCCATGAGCCGGGGTGGCTCAGGCTGAAAGCTGATGGCAGCATCAGGACCCCAGTGAGGGCACAGTCACTCTCCCTCCCTCTCTCTCTGACTCACCCACTCGCAGTACACATAAGTAAACTTTTTTTTTTTTTTAAGTCAATTGCTATAAATACTTTTTTGGCATTTTCAACGATTTATTCCTCCTTTCAACCAACCAACCAAAACGTACGACAGGCCTATGCTCCGTGTAGGTGCATCTCCAGCATTTTCTATGCAGAAGTTTTGTCTCTGTCTTATTATAATGTCGTTGTAACCATACTATTAAGTGGCCTCCTTTTATTCTATGCCACAGTGGAGAAACAGAGGCAAGTGAGCTTGGATTCTTGTCTAATCCAAGTCCCTGGGAAGTAGCAGAGCTGGGACTCACTGCTATCTAATGGCAATGTCTCCTGTTTCTTTTTTAAAGATCTGTTTAAATTTACTTTTTGCAGTTATAGTTAACATTTTAAGATGATAAAGACATTTTTATAAAGCTCAGGAGGTTTTTTTGTTTAGAGAGATTTTGCTATAAGGTGCATGCACTTGCAGGACAAACAGAGAGAGATAGAAAGCAGAAGATCACCCCCCAGGGGGGATGGCCACACCGCAATCCTTTCTCCTCTATTCTTCTCTTGGGATTTTGGGCACACTCACACATGTGCCCAGCATGAGTTTTAAGCCGCCAGATCCAGGACTCAAATGGCAGTGGACTACATGGGCGTCCAGCGATGTAATTATGCAATCTGCTGGTCCCAGAGCTCAGGTTTTTAAGTCAGCATTTCTCGTATTGGGATTGCTTAATTCTTGGGTATCTGTGAGAATGATTTTCCCTGTAAGTAGTGTTTTGGGGTAGAGACAGTGAAGTTCACTAACACCCACATATCCTGCCTTCCTTGCGATTAGAACCCTGTGGCTTTTGGGCCAAAGCAAAGGAGACTGGGTGTGAGTCTCCCTGGAGAGCCACTGATCAAATAAATAACTTTCATGTGTTAGAAGCTAAATGCTGCTGGTTTGGAAACTGCCACAGTGTACCTATCCTATACTGATCTAAGTTCACCCTCTTCAGGATCAAAATCACTGCGTTTGGACTTGAGACCTAGCGCCACCTTACATTATTGTCTGCTTCTGATGGAGGTGCATGGTTTTTCTTCTTTGCAGTAGTTAAAAAGCTCTTCATTCATAAGTTCAAAATCTTATCATTCCTTTTTCTTTTCTTTTTTTTGGATAGGTTTTAGCTATAGGGCGTATGCACTCGCCAGACAGACAGAAAGAGACAGAGAGACAAAGTGAGAACTCACCCCCCAGGGGGGATGGCCACGCCGCAATCCCTTCTCCTCCATTCTCCTCTCAGGATCTTGGGCACACACGCACATGCGCCTGGCGTGAGTTTAAGCCACCAGGTCTGGGACGCGAACCATGGCTGACTACATGGGAGTCCAGCGACATAGCCGTTATGCCAACTGCTGGTCCCCCAACAGCTTATCATTCCTATGGGCCAGAAGCTAAAAGGTTGCTTTTACAAAAAAAAAAAAAAAAGTGCGAAACCTGACACAAATGGTGCGCAGTGCCCCAGAGCTCAGGGCAGAACGCGTAGACAAGAGTTTAGAAAACGGTGTCAGGAGCAACTTCACCTTTTCATGGAATCCAGACCAGCCCTGACACCTGAGGGAGCTGCGGCTTTGGAGCCAGAGCAGGTGCCACTCATGAGCCAGACATCAGCTCTCCTTTAAGAGGTGTGGGCAGCGAGGGCTGTGGTGCTCCTTTACGCAGCCCCCAAGGCAATGACCTTGACCAGGTTATCAGAAAAGGGGAGAACTAAGATGACCGAGGCTGCCGTGGGCTCACTATGGCTGA